CAACTTCCAACTCCACTGGAGTGGCTACACAACTACAGAGGTTTTGATGCTCCTCTGATGTATCTGGTGGCTTCAGTGTTCCTGTCACCCATTGGATAGTTAAGGAAAAAAAGCAAGAGTGTAAATGCAGATCTATAACACATGTTCTTTTCAAAAAGACTTACTCCTAAATCTCCTTAATTTTGTTATGAGTTAAAGAATTTATTTCCTGATGGTGCCACAATGGAAGTAACACTTGTAAAAGAATGCATAGAGGCAACCACATATGTGTATGTCTGTGGGAGTATGTGTATATATAAATAAAATATGTATTCTCTGTAGCACTGAAGATGGAGAGAATTCACTTTAATCAAGCAGCAATATGTGAGATGAAATGGAAATAAACATATGTAGCAGGCAGATCAAGACGTCTTAAGTCTTCCTAGACTATCAAGAGCTGGAAGAACAATCGAGCTTCACCATAAGAAAGCTCAAATGAAGCTATTATGTCCTTCAAACTCACTAATAAGGATCCTAACTATCAAACCTAAAAAGGGAAAGATCATGTTACATACAGAAAATTAAGAAAATATAAGATATTTCAAAAGCTATGTCTTCATCATAAAATGAAGTGATGGCATCTCAAAGTCCAGATGACAGCAGATGCCAAGATCAGCTGAGAGTCTGAGGGTTCAAATCTATCCAGAGAAAGACTGAGCATGGCACATATCAGAACATGGGATGCCATCTGCATACATGATGGGATATCAAGGGTTAGGTCTTCATTCCACACCTTGCAACTTGTATTGGTAACCAAGTATCTCTAGGCATTAATCAGCTAAAATACAAAACATGAACAACACTGAAATCCTTGTTTACTACCTGAAGTATTTATTCCTTAATTAAGAGCAAGCATTGAATGTATTTGAGTTGTTAGTCTGGACACTCCTCAAGAATTTATATCCTAGGAGTGCCCAAGCATTACATGCTTTAACAGCTTCATATAGATTAGTTTGCTAGTTGGTTTGTCTACAGATAAGGCAAAGAAGAAACACTCCCCTCTATTATTCTGGTTATTGACACTAGGCAGATTTAATTAGTACGATTTAATACCTGCATAAAATTTCATATGCATTTCCATGCACAAGTTCTTCTACACATTAGGTCTTGATTTTATTTTTTTTGTACAGGCTGAGCAAACAACAAGAAACAAACACCAAAACATATTTACAGCATGAAGCAAAATTAATAGGCTTAAATAAAAAGAATCTCAACCAAACTTTGGTTATTATGGACCTCTGAGAGAATTTGCAAGAAAGCATCCTTGTCTCAAGGATTTGTTCAGCAGGACCTGCCCAAGGCTATGATCAAGACAACAAGAGGAAGTTGTCTGGTTGAGTGACCAGAAAGAATCTGCTCTCAGTTAACATTTGCAAGTCACGCTGATTTCTGCAGTTGTTTTGTAGTAAGTGACCACCATGCAGCCAGTATGCATGCTCAACAGCCTGCCAGGTGATGGTAGGCGTGTGATTGTGGCATGATCTGCAATCACCCAATGGCAGATCACCCAATGGGGGAGCACATGCCATTGCCCCAACCAGAGGTGCACAAGAGCAGAACAGAGAGCACAAAAACCCAAAGAGTTCAGAGGTAGAACAGGTAGTCTCTCTCCACCCAACCCAGCCGTTAAGATCAACAAGATGTCACTGATCAACCCGCAGCCCCCAGGGGCTATCAGGACATTCCGGAACCCATGGTACTGACTTTCCCCAATTCATGATCCCTTCACTAGAATTCCTCTTTCACTATTGCTAACTTCCCCATCTTCCCCACATTCCTTAACTCTACAGACTTTGTAGTTATCTAGTTGGTTAACATTTGACCCTGCTTATGTCTTTATCTCACTCCAGGTGTGTGTGTATATATGATGATTTGATACACACACACTACTCCAACAGCTGGAGCGAGACAAGCCCTCACACAAAAAAAGTTCCACAGAAGCCCAGTGGTGTTCAGACACTCCATTTCACTCTACTACTTGGCCAGTCATTAAGCACCACTCAGCACAAAATTTGGGTAAATGGTGGATTCCTAATCACAGCTTCCTTGTATACACTGATTATTATTTGCACCATCAAACAATGAAGAAGGGTCATTTGAGAAACAAAAGGGAAACGTACAAGAAGTTAGCCAAGACTCTTAACAGCAGACAAGCATCACATTTGCAGACTCACACTTGCAGCATTCCTCCTGCTTCATGTTTGTGCCCAGCAGCCTGTAGTTTGGCAGTGCAACCACAAAATACATCAACTACATCAAATAAGTTGCCAGTGGCAATTCAGAAAGCAAGCCGAGAGTTTTCCGGTACTAACATTCCTGAAATCACAGTTGTCTTTGCAACACTATACCTCAGAAATACCAGAGACCAGAAACTCCCAAGTATTCTTTTCTATAGAAAAAAAAACATTTTATTTCCAAATGGAACACATGTGACAGTACAGAGCATATCTATGCTGCAGGTGGCCTCACCACCAGGCTACCCCTGTGGGAGGAACACCGACTTACATATACCACAGGAAACCCCTTGTGTCTTGACACCTGGCATTACCGCTGTGCACACTGACCTGTGTGTCAAGTGTGCAACACCACAGCACTCAACTCACTCAAGATTCTCAGGTTTGAAAGATTTTTCCTCAGCACGCCCTTGTTAGCTGTTAATAACTTTGCAGGGAGTGAGCCAACAATCTCCCAGTTGTCTTTCAAGACCAGTTTTAGTAAAGCAAAAGAGCGTTTCTGCTTGGAAGTGGTACACTGAAGACAAAACGCTGATAAACAGGAGCCCACACATCCAGACTATACTCGAAAATCAGTTTGTTTTTAGCTCCCAGTTTCTCAGCTGATGTGGATATTAGCACAGCACGACGCGCCTTCCCAGAGCTGGCGCACTGAGGCATTTGTCAAATCAGAGCCTTTCCTTTGTTCAAGCCTGACTCCCTCCTGCCAGTCTTTCTCCAGGCATCTTTTTGTGCCTGGTACTACTCGGCACACGTGCATAAGCAGCCTTTCTGTTTACCTTTCAGGAGTTTTTCATAGTTTGTTATTCTGTTGTGGCTCTTACATCGGACACTGCTTCTAGCGAACAGCTTCCTTGCTGCTTATTTCTTCAGTGTAGTCACAGTATCTTATAATTTACATAACATGAGGAATTTATCGTCCAGCTTTCTAAGCTTATACTCTTCTGTTTATTACTTCAGATCACTTCTCATACACATTTCACGCAACATATTACTGGTTGTAACAGATTTACACTGTTTTGTCCTTTCTTCTGTATTCTGAGACTCTAGGACTTCATAACACATTATTCCTCACCATAATCAGCTTTAAGGTGAACCTAAAATAAATTTACAGCTGCTTTAATCAGTTGGAAAACAAAGCAGCCAATACACACGTAATTAGCTGGTATACATTCACTTTAACGTAACCAAAACAGCAACAAGACCTAAGGAATGTGACAAAGACCGCGAGATCTATACAGGTTTCTTTTTCCCATTGGACAACTAACAGGAGGGTGGAAGCACATAAATAACTAGAAAGAAAGTAGGATAAAAATGCGGTATGGCTGTATACTTGAAGAACAGAGAGAAGTATACATTGCGCTATTCATGCACACAGAACCAACTCACATAATCAAAGAGTAAATGGAGGTATCAGTTCACTGCTGCTACGATTCATTGTTTCAGCTGTCCTTTGTCCTCCTGTAAGCAGATGTTTGAACAGCACTCATCTTTTTATTCTTAAGATTCAGCTCACTTCATGCTCAACGACATACTTTAATTTCTGCTATATTTAAGCATAACATCTGGGAATTGAGCTATGCTGTTCATGACCTCGAAACTCCTAGGATGATTACACGCTCCCACAACCTATGTTGCAACTCCTGAGCTGGCAGCATCTCTGCCCCCATTTCTCATTTCCAAGTCCCATCTTGAAATACTCCATCATCCACCAAAGTTTGAGCTTTTCACGTTCCTCCTATGCAGGAGTTCACGGCTCTGCTCTGAGATGTACAAGCAACGGCACCTCCTGGATCCAACAAGTTTAAATACACCAGCTTTGAGTCTCACCGACTTCCCCCATTCTGGAAGTTCTGATGAGACAGCCTGACTCCTACCTAAATTAAATGTTAAAATTAAAGGCTGAATGAACATACTAACGCAGACATCCACGTCGAGGAAGAGGCTCAGCACACCCTGCTAACAAACATCCCAGGCCTGACTTTCTCAGGTAAACCCAAGCAAGGCTCCAATTGTCCTAAGCATTCAGAGGTTTTGCATACAACCGGAAATGGTTCAAGCTGTACTCCTTTGTATTAGATGTGCTGGCGGGATAGTAGAGACAGAAGCCACTGTGCCTTTAGTACAGGTACTTAAGAGGACAATAGGCCAATACTTTCTTAATAACAGCAGTCTGGAGTTCCCGCTGCCTTCTGCAGGTAGAATTTTATACTTGAGCTCACAGTGCATATCCCAAAAAGCACAGCCACATCTATCCTATTAACTCCTATCATGAAAACCGAGCTTCTTTCTGCCTCCCCCTCTGCACGCAGCATTCTCCAGGACCTTCCCGCTCTGATCAGAGGACGCTTGCGGGTACCCTTCCCTAGGATACAGCCGCAGGTCGGAGCGCTTCTCAATCATTTCAAATGCACTCGTAACACGAGCTCCCACAACGGGAGAGGAGCTCCCCAAAACTTATTCACTGTCCACTGAGACACGAACCAAGTTTCCTACAGCCGGAGGGAGCCGCCCGCGGCGCGGTGCGGACAGGTGCCACCCCGCCGCCCGGCGGAGCGCGGCGCAACGAGGTTGACATCCGCAGGACTTCCCCGGGTCGAGGTGGGAAATTCGAACGAAAGAAAAGGAACGCCGCCCCAGCCCCCTCCCCCCTCTTTCCCCGCCCACCATGCTCCCCTCGCAACACTCCGTCGCCTATCGCGACACGCGCGTCCCCAGCGGCCTTACCTGGCGTGCAGTGCAGGGACGAGGGGCCGGGCGAGGAAGGGGGAGGCGGCGGCTCCTTGGTTGGGGCGGCGGGAGGCAGCATGAGGTAGCGGTCGGGCTGCGGCAGGCAGCGCTGGCACACGGAGTGGAGGCAGGGCAGCAGCTTGGGCTGCCGGCTCTGGATGGGCTGCCCGCACACGCCGCAAGTGTCCAACAGGTTGAGCGGCGCCGCCTCCCCGCCCCGCTCCGCCGGGCCCTGGCGGCTCTCGGCCTCGTTCTCCCCGCTCAGCGTCGCCGCCCCCGTCCGATCTACCGGGCACGGCCCCCCCCCGGCCGCCGCCGCCGTCGCCGCTACCGTAGCCGTCGCTTCTTCCATTGTCCCGAGCCGGTCGCCGGAGCGCCGAAGAGATGCGGAGCAGCCCCGCTGTCCGCCGCCGTTCGCCCGCCTTCCCGCGCCGACACCCCACCCGCGCGCGGCCCGCGCTGTTTGTGTGCCTGCCCCGGGAGGAGGCTGCCCCGCCGCGCCACACGGCCAACGGCCGCCCGCGCCCCGCCCCGCTCCTCTCCCCCTCCGCGACACGCCCCCCCCTTAGGCCACGCCCGCCGGCTACGTGCGGCTCGAGCTTTCCCGGCCCGCCCTCGCAAGAACCAGCCCCCACCCTCACGCAGGCCCCGCCCCCACAGCGCCCCGCGCCACATAAGCCACGCCCCCATAAGCCCCGCCCGCTGTAGGCCCGCCCCTAATGGCTCTCGTCCGCTTTGCCCCGATGCTGGGGTCTGTGCGCGGTCCTCGCCGCCCAAAAGAAGCCCTGCACCCCAGCGGCCCACGTGCACTTTGTTAAAGACTTTCGACTGCTGCAGCCCACGTCTCCTCGGCTACTGATCAAGTGGCTGCCTGCTCATGTGGGGCAAGTGGTCGGGCCAGAGGGGCCTCAATCCTATCAGAGATTCTTGTGGTGGTCATACTTCAACCCCACTCGATGTGTGGATGCTTGTGGAAATTTTAGCCTGTGTTCAGTTTGGCCCATGGCATCAATGCCGCTGTTCACAGGCACATCACCCAACTAAATAGGCAATCAGTAAAACTTAAAAAGTACAATTCTAGTTTGGGTGCACCGTTTTGCTGAATCAAATGCTTGAACTTAAGTACACACGCAGACGTAAAACATCACCTACATATTGGTCATGGGTCAGTCATGGGCTGATTCAAGCACATGCCAGATGACTCAGTAGCCCGCTTCCTGGCAATCCCTTCTAGACCAGTGATAAATGTCATTCCTGCTTCCAAATACCAATACAGCTATACCCTCTCAGCTCTTAGCTTGCCAATAGACAGCACCAGCAGCGCTTCTCCAGAGCACCTTCTGCCTCCTGACCCAGCTCAAATCCTGTCCTCCTCACTGCCATCTTCGCTGTCCAGCACTGTATGATGGTGTTCTGCTAGGTCCTTGTGACGGGAGCTAATGTGCCAAGAGTATGTAAATGGTGAATGATGAAACAGGTTCAGGAATTAAAACTAATGATGACAGCATGAGTTCTGTAAGGTGAAGAAAAACAACAAAATTGCCACTGGGATAGGCAGGTGATCACTGAAGTGCATTTGATTAGTTTTAATGGCAAACGATTGGAAAGTCAATGAATAATATATTTCTAGTGAGTGACAGGAAGCCATAAGTTAATCAAACATTTGTGCAACTAGAATTAGCTGTTTATCCAGTAGAAGGCTGGACAGCAAAATAGAGATTATCTAAAGGTACAAAGGCCACCTGCAGAGGATTTGAGCAGGTGCTTTGTTGGAAATCATATCCCCACAAACCACTTGTGGCCCAGTGATTAGTAATATATATACAATTTTGTTTCCTGCAAAATTTGTTTGCTTGGAATGTTTGCAAAGCACACTTGAACTCTGCTGTAAAATCTGTAATCTCATGACATCCAAATAGCATCTGTTATAAAATAAATGTTTGAACTTTTATGATTTGAATGTAGAGCCCTGCTGTCCTTGCTGTTAGTGAGGGAATTTTACTAGGAGTACTCAGGGCAGGAGCAAAAAGCGGTAAGAAAAGGCATCCCAATATATGCAGCCATTCGCTATAGGAAGAACAGAGTGAAGAGAAAAGCCTTGGAGTGTTGAACTGCATTTCTCAAACAAAATCTGGGAACAGTTATTAAGATGCTGCACCCCTTTATGCCAACCTGGCTGCATGGTTTTCAGACCACAGCCACACTACACTGCCTCTGGCCATCAGGGTATGAGATACACTCTTTCTACCTCATGCTGGCAGGTTTTTGGTTCAGGTACTGCTGATAAGCAGACCTAATTGGAGTTGAACGAGTATGCAAAATTTGCAAAATAGTGCAGAATCATTCTATGTCAGCATGAAGAGACATGCCATATCAGGAACTACACCAACTACCCAAGAACGTGAATGCAGAACAGTTGTAGCTGGAAATCTACTGATAAGAAAGAAAAGTGGCACATACTGTATGACCATTAAAGGAAGAAGTTGGACTACCAGCCAACTACTTTACATTATAAATATTTGCATCTGATAGAGTTGGTTGAGCTCTCCCACATGGCAACGGGCTGCATGGTGGCAATCTCTCCTTGAGTGCGGACACCTTTCAAGGTTACTCCTCAGTGTTGAGAGATCCCTTATCTGATCCTTACAGTGAAGCAAGAGACATTTCTATGCGATACAACATTCATTTATATCAAGCCTAAGTGGCATTTCATACACTTCAGGCTAGCTTAATTATTAGGCCTGTAGTAAGTAGTAGAGGTTTCAATGCCAATTAACCATCCATCATAGAGTGTTTGACTGCCACTTTTGTTTAATCAGTAATTCTGTTTAAATAGTGGCTAATAAATTCTTCTGGTTAACTTCACAAGGAGAAGTTGTTTCAATAATTCACCTGTGACAAAGATCAGTGTAGCTGGCAAGATGGCACATTCAGTCGCTGAGCACTTAGGGATGCGTGGAGCTAACCCTTTGTCAAAATTCTTGGAAGAATGGGCACATAAACATTGGGATAGCTAGAATAAAGTAGAGGAATGGACAAAACTCACAAGAAGGAAAATGAAAGACATTAACAAAAAGGGAATCATATGCAAGATATTGGGAACACATTTGGAAACAGCAAGTCAGGTAAGGAATATAAAGAAAATGAAGTGAGAATGTTGTGCTATAAGGTTGAACAAAGAAAGCAACACAAAAATCCTACTATTCCTGCAAATAGAACAATTACAGAAACAAATAGGGAAGAAAAGGAAAAACAAACTGTAGAAGGCAGGGTAGAAATAATGATAACTTGCATCCACAACCCGTCAGATTCTTTAAAGATTCTGTTCCTGGGAGGTTAGGATGAGGATATTTGGGATGACTCTGATCAAGAAAATGACAAGGATGAATTGGATGTTTCAGAATTTTTCAGCAGCCTCTAATTCATGTAACTCATTTGTGTTGAGTGAATTTATGGTAGTTCCTATTACTAAAACTGAGTTATCTGCCAGATGCCAAGGAGGTGACCAAAAGGGCCATTCCTTGGGATTCCCTTCAGCTGGCTAATTTGTGCAGAAAATGTAGGCATAAGCCTGGTGAAGATGTGATTAAATATCTGTGGCATGTCTGTCTAACCAGAGGAGATTGTATTGTGTTAGAGCAAAAAGGGGTAGATGGCTTCTGGGCACCGGGCGTGTTTTTAAGCAAGGGATCAGGTACACTAGATCATGTGCTATAGGTAGTATGTTGGGCAGGGGGCACAGATTACGAGGAATGAAAGGAGCCCACCACTATACAAATACAATCATTAAGCAAATTATCTGCTGCCATGACAAAGGCAACCTGCATCCAGGTTATGAACAACAGAGGTGCACATGGCAATTACCCTACAGACCTTTAAGACATTAAACCACTAATAAGAGGAGTCACTGCTGTCCTGAAACTATACATCATTGCAAAAAGAGATGAGATAAAGAAAAACATAGCATGTAACATGCAGGACGACTAGCCTTGCCTTTGACCCAACCCTGACCTGGGCAGAACTGAAGCACAACACTGCTAATTATGGTTGAGAAATGTGATAGGAAAACACTTCAATTGGGTGATCCCATACTGAAGTAGACAGCAAATAGGCTAAACAAGTACAACAGACTCCTCAGAATCCCCAGCATCCTATCTCAAAAATCCTCTAATAGAATAATGGATTTCCAGGATAGATGTAGTGAACTGTAGAGAAAATCCTTATCATCGAGCCTACCTCAGATAGATGTATAGGGCTGATCATCTGGAACTATACTTAGTCTAATCCATACTTTTCATAAACAAGGGTTACCAGAAAATTCAGAGAAAATCAAATAATCCTCTGCTCTGAAATGCCCCACAAGTAATCTTTTTACATCTCTTATGGAGGAATGCCCAACTTTGCAGAAAAAAAAAAATAAAAAAAAAAGGAGTAAATCCTGAATGGCTGCTGTGCTGTCCTTCTGGAAAACTGAAGTTTGTCAATGAGATAATACAGATGGCTTTCACATTTCTGTCCTAGCCAGGCCCCAAATATAACTAGTAAAATTTTTAATTGATGCAGAGCTTCACATTTCAACATTTTTTCCTGTGACACAGATGTCCCAGACTGAGCTGCTTGGTGCTGCTTTGAAAAAGTCTGAAAAATGTCTTTGGTCTTAAAGCAGCGGACAATTTGGTCTAGTCACTGCTAGGAGCAGGCCATGACTCATTTGGCTCCTCAGTGCTTCACCGGGGTGACAAATCAATAGAGATAAAATGAAGACTGTGACAAGCTGATACAGAATCAGCTTAGAAAATGTGTAAGTCATGCTGACTAGGTGGAGGAAACATCCAGAAACAGATTACTTCATCTCTTGTACCACCTTCCGTACTCAAAGAAGAATTTGAGAGTTTGCTATGCTACTTATTCTGTTCACAGTGTTTCGTTATATCCTTTGCTTGTTCCAGACACCCCAGTTAAAGCAAATTTTAGAATAGCTGTTATTCCCTCAGCATCTTGTCTTCTCTTTAGATATAGACTTTGTCACCATAGCCTAGGCCTTTGCCATTTTCAGTGTAAGTTCCTGCAAATTACTCTACAAAAAGTATATTCTGGAGCTTCAGCTACAGAATGTCGTAGCCATTGACTACCCATCAGGACTTCTCAAGAAAGGGCTCATCATTAGGAGTTCCATTCACTATTTTTAGACAAAAACAATTTATTTGTTGACTTTGGTTTCTTCCTTTTGTCTTTGGTTCACTGTTTGCTTTCTTGCATTTCTAGATTTTCTAGCAGTCATGAATCCTTCCTGGATTACCACCAAATGTTGGCATGTACATTTCCTCCTCTTGAGACAGCCATGTGACAGTAAATAATCTCTTTCCA